TTAGTTTGTTTTTGCCCTTGGTCTCTTCGTTGTGTCCTTGCCAAAGAGTCTATAGCACTAGATTCTCAATTATGCAAATGTGTAGGTTCATGTGTGTCGATGTTGTATTCTGTGTTTGAATATAGGACCAGATACAATTATCATAGTAAAACTCTTACATGTAATAGGAGTTGTGCAATGCACGTTCATTATTGTCACGTGGGGCTTATTAGGGTTTGAGGCTCTTTAACTGCGGCTCGGAATATAATTAGGATGGAAACTGAGTTCTCCTCTGATTCTATAGTTATAGTCAATTTGTGAGTGAGTTCTATTTCAAACTCTTTTCTGGACGCTGATCGTTGTAGGCCGCATTGGACAAAGATAGCTCTATAGTTTTGATAAGCTTGTGCTGAGCATGTGTGAGGTTTAGCCGTTCAGCTCTATACAGACACTTCGCGGGTCATGCAGCGGACCTGAATCGATAGGAGAATGGCAACATACGTTAACCTAGACGCGATCACTTGCGATCTGATGGTAGGGAGATATCTAGCCACGCTCTGATAGGGTAAGTTTCCCACCAAACGTCCGAGTCTGTAAGGAAGTGTTCTTCGTGTTCACCCATGCCACCGACGTATATAACCTATAACAATAGGACTGCGCATCGTGATTACAGAGTCAAACAAAGACACTTTATACACTACCGGTTAATAACTCTCGCTGGATATAACCCAGTGAATCATCGTGGTGCTGGTAGTAAACTTGTTACTTATTACTCTGTTACAGTAACCAAACACGTTGTTATCTGCAGCTACCACTATATAACTATGCATTACTCAATCTACATATCCCAGATACTCACAATTATCTGTAAACACTAAAGTTGAATTACTTAGCGCGTAAATCCGTCCAAACATATTACATCACAACTTCAAATACCTTTTTTTCTCCGTTTATATCTCCAATAAATACAGCTACGGTATAATATACATAAGTTACTCACTATGAGCGCAGTAAAATAAAGTGTATGACTCTACGCACCATCATAATCACTGCAACCACTGTTTTCAATCTGCAACTACATACAATACACTACTCTTACAGTCACACCGCAGTTAATAAATCTCTCTCCGCCTGTAATAATAGCCTGTGAATAAAACAATAACTTTAACTTCACTCTACTATGAAACACTGTTTACTACCAGTATATAAAACACTTACTATTATCCATATAACAACTACTGAATTACGCATACATAAGTAATACGATTTATAAACATCCTGTTATTAACTAGTTACTCGATATCGACTACTTCTCACCAAAAAGAACATAAACACACTCAGTTGACATATCTATCCTGAAGTCGACTTCTAGAACACTGTTAGTACCTTTTTTGATCGGAAAGATAAGACTGATCGGACACTGTTACTGCCACCATAAACACTGTTGTCAGTCGACTCACCAGCGAGCGAGCTAGGTATTTCAAACACTGTTATCAGCTATTGACTCGAACAGTTTATATGTATAATAGAAGATCACTCTGGCTACTGACCAGTCTTTTAAGTAGTCTTCTCGTATTCTGATAAATGTAAATCACTCGTGATCGAAGTACTCACATGATTATCTGATTTCAAAATCGAGTACCGAGCTATAAACCTCGTGAGTTTGTGGAATCATCTCAAGTGGTCTAATTAGGTTATACGTGACATAGTATAGCTTGAGTTTATTTATGATTCCCGAATGGATTAATGGCGACAATAGATATACTCTTGGTATTGAACATTACTGTGACACGACTGTAGGTGTGTGAGCTAATCGTCTCTCCTTACCACTGGTCTCATTATAAAAGCTTAACTGAGTTGCATCACTACTCTACTGAGTGATTTATACACTATGTTTCTGTTAAAATGCGTACTCTTTTAAGTTCATTTCATCGTCAACTAATGACACTGTTGTTACTTACCACTCTATAGAACACTGTTAATATTTATGACGTATTTCAAGAAACGTGAAGAATTAACATACCCAACACTTGTTACTATTACTATAAACACTGTTACTATTACTATAAACACTGTTACTATTACGATAAACACTGTTACTATTACGATAAACACTGTTACTATTACGATAAACACTGTTACTATTACTATAAACACTGTTACTATTACTATAAACACTGTTACTATTACTATAAACACTGTTACTATTACTATAAACACTGTTACTATTACTATAAACACTGTTACTACCACTATAAACACTGTTTACTATAAACACTGATACTATTACTATAAACACAGTTACTATTACTATAAACACTGTTACTATTACTATAAACACTGATACTATTACTATAAACACTGTTACTGTTACGATAAACACTGTTACTAACACTATAAACACTGTTACTATTACTATAAACACTGTTACTATTACTATAAACACTATTACTACCACTATAAACACTGTTACTATTACTATAAACACTGTTACTATTAACACTGTTACTATTACTATATTACTACTATAAACACTGTTACTATTACTATAAACACTGTTACTATTACTATAAACACTGTTACTATTACGATAAACACTGTTACTATATGTTACTATACTATTACACTGTTACTATTACTGTTATAAACACTGTTACTATTACTGTTACTATTACTATGTTACTATTACTATAAACACTGTTACTATTACTGTTACTAAACACTGTTACTGTTATAAACTGTTACTACTGTTATTACAACTATTATACCATTATTACTTCAAATACCATTAATAAACTAGAATTATAAATACTGTGACTACTACTATAAATACTGTTAGTACTAGTACAAATACTGCAGTAAGGGAAGTGTGTGAACTACTACAGCTAAAGACAAAGACACTCAGATTTGATGTGGACAGTGTGGACGGTGCGGACATGTGGACGGCGTGTGGACGGCGTGGACGTGCAGACAGTGTGGACAATGTGGACATATAAACAGTGTGGACGGTGTGGTGTGGACGGTGTGGACAGTGTGGACCATGTGGACGGTGTGGACACAGTGTGTGTGGACGTGTGTGGACGGTGTGGACATATAAACAGTGTGGACATGTGGACGGTGTGGACAGTGTGTGGACGGTGTGGACGGTGTGGACATGTGGACAGACATGTGTGGACGGTGTGGACAGTGTGTATGTGGACAGTGTGGACAGTGTGGACATATAAACAGTGTGGACAGTGTGGACATATAAACAGTGTGGTGTGGACAGTGTGGACAGTGTGGACAGTGTGGACGGTGTGGACAGTGTGGACGGTGTGGACAGGTGTGGACGGTGTGGACGGTGTGGACATATAAACAGTGTGGACAGTGTGTGGACATGTGGAACAGTGTGGACGGTGTGGACAGTGTGGACAGTGAACAGTGTGGACGGTGTGGACGGTGTGGACAGTGTGGACAGTGTGGACGTGTGGACAGTGTGGACAGGTGTGGACGGTGTGGACATGTGGACAGTGTGGACAGTGTGGACGGTGTGGACGGTGTGGACGGTGTGGGACATATAAACAGTGTGGACGGTGTGGACATATGAACAGTGTGGACAGGTGTGGACATATAAACAGTGTGGACAGTGTGGACATATAAACAGTGTGGACAGTGTGGACAGTGTGGACGGTGTGGACAGTGTGGACGGTGTGGACGGTGTGGACATATAAACAGTGTGGACAGTGTGGACAGTGTGGACAGTGTGGACAGTGTGGACAGTGTGGACTGTGGACATGTGGACATGTGGACTCACTTCTGGTGCGTGGCCGGGCCCTGGGTGAAGGGGCTGAAGCCAAACCCTCCGTTACTCATGATCCCTGAGCCCTGCACAAGAATCACAGAGACACTTTGAGAAAAACACGAGTTTAAAGGCAACGGTTTACCAAGTCTCATACTGATCTGTCCCGAGTTTGAACCAGCCACGAGTAAAGTAGGTTTGTTCCGATACTGATCCTGGTATTGGAAAAAGCCCCGATACTCCACATTTTTCAGGTTTTGGCGAGTACTCAGACCAAATCCCCGATCCGATACCACTCTGTATTTTTCTGACTGAGGACTTAAAAGTTTAAAAACAGACTGCGGCTCCGTCAACACCTAAAATATGAGAATAATCACAGAAAAGACTTTTGTGTTTCCTCTTTGACACCTTCGCTTAACCTTTCGTGTGGACGCTGAAGTTTCTAAAATAATTAAAGTTACAGAGAAGCAGACTGATTCCTGAGCTAACACAGATTTTGTTTATTCTGCAGAATTATCCATGTGCTCCGAGGAAGAGCGTCTCACTTTTGTTTTTATTCACGATGCAGCAGAAAGAAGCGAAATAGAAAAGTAAAAGTGCTTAAATCGGCATAATCTGTGTGTCATTTATTCATTTGTTTTTCCAATATAAAACCAAAAATAAGAAGATGAAAAAACAACTTTTTTCTTCATTATTTGTCTCCAAAACCAAAATGAAAAAACAGATGATTCATTTTTTCAGTTTTCGATTTAGGGTTTAAATGAAAAATGGAAAAAACGGATAATGGACTGAACCAGGACTAAACCAGGACTAAAGTGTTTATAGTCCTGGTCTGGTCCAGGTCTCAGTCACGGCCTAAATCACAGTCTTGGACTGAGGCCAGGACCAGATCAGGACCAAACCCGGACCAGTCTGGTTATGATCTCAGTCCTGGTCCTGGTCCTGTTCCTGGTCTCAGTCCTGGTCTCAATCACGGCCTCAATCACGGCCTGGTCTGGTCCCGGCCTCAGTCCCGGTCCAAGTCCCGGTCCAAGTCCCAGACCTGTTTTAGTCCTGGTTCAGTCCGGCATCTCAGTTGAAGTCACATAAACGGGAAACAAATTATTATCTGTTTTTTCATTTTGGTTTTGGAGACAAATAATTATTTTTGTTTTTATTTTGAAAAACGACTGAATGAACGACTCATCTTCTGGATCATTAAACATTTCACCAACACCGTAGTCCTCAAAAATCACATTTATTCTTGTAGATTTTCTTTAGAGAAAGCCTTTTATTTTTTGCTCAAGAACTTTAAAATTGATGAGTGTTCTTCTTCACACTCTGTGGTATCGGGCTGGTATCGGTATCGGAGAATACAATCATGTCGAGTATCAGTATCGGACACTAATTAGACAGAGTAAAGTTTCGAGAGTCCGGGTCAGAGTCCGTGTGATGAGTGAGGTGAGGTCGGTGTCGTTGGGGTGAGGCACAGACCCCGATCTTGTCGTCGATGAGCTGGCGGGCGACCTCCATCTGCTGCGCCGTGCCTCTGATGGTGAAGACGCGGGTGCTGGGGTCGGTGGAGGGCGGCGGGTTCCTCTGCAGCTCCACGTGGGCCCCGGACTGCTGGTTTATGCTCTTTATGGTCTCCCCACCTACAAAACACACACAGACACACACACACAGGTCAGCAGGTACACAAAATAATGAGCCAGAATAATCCATGTGTCGTTCGTTCATTTGTTTTCAAAATAAAACCAAAAATAGTCTCCAAAACCAAAAAGAAAAATCAGATAATGATTCTTTTTTTTTTTTTTCAGTTTAAGATTTTGTGTTTAAATGAAAAATGGACAACAGACTAAACCAGGACTGAGCCAAGTCTAAACCAGGTCTAAACCAGGCCTAAACCAGGACTGAATAAGGACTGAACCAGGTCTGAACCAGGACTAAACCAGGACTAAACCAGGTCTAAACCAGGTCTAAACCAGGCCTAAACCAGGCCTAAACCAGGCCTAAACCAGGACTAAACCAGGACTGAACCAGGACTAAACCAGGACTAAACCAGGACTAAACCAGGACTAAACCAGGACTGAACCAGATCTAAACCAGGACTGAACTAGGACTAAACCAGGTCAGGACCAGACCGGAACCAAACAGAGACAGTCTGGGACCAGGCCAGGACCAAGACCAGAAATGAGACCAGGACTGAGGCCGGGATTGAGGTCAGGACCAGATTGGGTATTGAGACCAGGACTGAGACTGGGACCAGACCAGGACTGAAAACATTTTAGTCCCGTTCTAGTCCCGTTTCAGTCCTGTTTTACAAATCATTATTTGTTTTTTCATTTTGGTTTTGAAGACAAATAATGAATCATTTTCTTATTTTTTGGTTTTATATTGTAAAACAAATGAAACAGTTTTTTTTTTTGCGTCTTAAAACATCGAAATCGAATCGATACCATGACCTGTGTATCGAGTTATGTATCGAACCGTATCGTTTCATCCCTGATCTTCCCTGCTCCTCCTGTGCTCCGCTCTAACCATCACGGACACATGTGACTCTGCACAGACTGAACGTTTCCTCGGCCGCGCTCGCCGCTGCTCCCGCCGCCGCCGTCGCTCCCATTCAGCCGCGCGCTCATCTCCCGCTCGGATTCCTGTCTGGTCTAAAGACCGAGCGCAGGAAGTGGTTGGTGGCTGAGAGCGAGAGAATAAAAGCCTCTTGAGAAGCCATCAGCGCGAGGTCAAGAGGGTCGCCCCGCCACAATAAGAGCACCAGTGAAAGAGACGTCAAGAGGGAGCGGACCGTCACAATAAAAGCGTTTGAGAGGGGGAGCGCCGGCAGACACCATATGGGCCGGGGCTGTTAGCGCTCGCCGCTCTTTGTCGAGCGTTTGAGAGGCTCCATTGTGGCGATCTGGCAAAGGGGCTGCGTCCAAAAATATTAACATCACATTCGCGGGTAATCTGGGAGGCGGAGCGAAGGAGAAGAAAACAAACAAGGACTTAAGCGTGGGGTAAACAAGAGCGGGAGGGTTTGGAAACAGAAAGACTGAAAGCGTGTACACAAATAAAGACGACTGATCAAGGTCTCGGAGTTTAATCCCAAATCAGGACCAAAGCAGTGAAATAGGCTCATTGTGGTCGGGTGAAGGAGACGGCGGCTGCATCCAAAAACATTATCAACACTTTTTGGTGAAATAAAAGAGAGGAGAAGTGCAGCGCTGCCCCCTGTTGAGCCCGTACAACGTTGTTTTAAAAGGTTTTGGATCTGTTATAATTCAATTTCTTCATCACAAACAAACCTGGAGTTGTGTTTTTTTTGTTTCATTCAGACATGTTTAATGCACAAACTAAAGCTGCTCGATTATGGGGAAAAAATCATTATCACGAATGTTATTTTTTGACTTACATGATGCATTTATTCATCAATTGTCTCTCAAAACTCACTTTACTTTCAAATTGAAAATAAATACAGGCTACAAACGTGCCTCGTTTTTGTGCAGTTTTGCAAAGTGAACATGAAAACTTGAACATTAAATAAGGCAGAAAAACATAAATAAACTATATACAAAATATCTCAAAATAAACTCGATTATATGAGTTTGGAGATCATTTAACAAACAAATCAAAATTGTGATCAAAATTCAACTACCGTATTTTTTGGACTATAAGTTGAACTTTTTTCATGGTTTGTGTGTTTCCTGTGACTTATATATTCATTCAGACTGACAGCTGAGGGAGGCTCTAGGCTTTTGAGTCAGTTTTCTGTGCATGTCTCCTGCAGAAACAGCGGCTGTCCTGCTGCAAGTTGTGAAATATGCAGCAGAAAACTGTAATCGAGCAGCAGAAAAAAAGTTTGGAGTGAGAGAGAAACTTGTGAGGGGCTGGAGGAAAGTGGGGATGGAGAACACAGCTTCACGGCAACTGGGAGGATGCAGCAACCCTGGACTTCAGTGACAACTGAAGTTGTGCAGAGTTGCTCAGGCGTGACACAGAGGATGAAGAATTCAATGAATTCAGTCGATTTAGTGATTTGGAGTGAGATGGAGAGTTTGTTAAACTTGTTCTGTTCTGTTGTTTATGCTTTAGTTTATCTGAAGAACTGTTCAGACATATTAACGCCTGTTCAGCCTGTTGTTCTTTATTCTGTTGTTGTTACAAGAACTTGCCTTTCAAGATAAAATGTCAGTTCCTGGTCGCTGATTATATAAAATAAATTTCCCCCAAAAGTGCAACTTATAGTCCGGTGTGACTTATGTTTTTTCTTCATTACATATTTTTTGGTTGGTGCGACTTGTAGTCTAAAAAATACGGTACATTTAAAATACACATTTACATCTTGAAAACAAATTTATGTTTCATAAAACACATTTGCAAACGAGTAAACAAATGTGAAAAAGGTTGTACAAGTGTGTTTTTGTGTTTTGTACAATGGCCAGAAGTGCCGTGATGTGGGTAAATGTCACTTCCAGCTAAAGCTTTTCTATGGCAAAATATCTGTGGAAATGTTTCCCAGTTTCATAAATCTGCCCCAACACCAAACCTTCAACCAACAAACTCCACAAAGAATAAACATTCTAACATGAACAAATTTATCCACAACTATCAAGAGAAGAAAGAACAAAACTTAAAGGAAACAACGAGCCACATTATTCACACAACAAACTCAACTCATGTTACGGACGATTTTTAGAACATTCTCTTTTCTGTCAAGAACTTTGTTCAATTTACATGTGGCAAAAACACAAATTCAAACCCACAAAACAATTTATCTCGGTGCTTTAACAAATGTTTCGTGTTTTGTAAATGTGTTTGCTCATTTACAAATGTGTTTTATGAAACCTAGAATCTGTTTGAGGCGTCCACACGGTGCTGGATCAGATCTGTGCTCAGATGAGTTGGTGGGAGCTGGAGGCACCAGATCGTTCTGTTTCTGGAGCCGTTTTCAGTCAGATTAATGTGAACGAACACTGTATCCACAACCAAAACCACCCGAACAAGAACTAGTGTGGACGGGGCCTTAGACACAAAACTCGTCAAAATCGTAATTTCGATGTTCTAGAATGTGTCGCATCCTGAGCTCAGTTTTGCTGTAAATTGTGGAGCGGTTTCCTCGTCTGGTTAGTAACGGCATGGATTAATATTTCATCATAATGTTTGATAATCACTCAGCTGTTTGAATCAAATTAATTTAATCCTCCCTGTCTTTGTGAATGTGTGTAAATGTTGCTTTAATTTTAAATATATATTTTTTTTATGTATTCATAAAGTGGAGGCTTTAATATTCGCCCTTTTTGTTTTGTTGCCTCTTCTGGCACCTACTTTTTTTTAATCTAGTATTTTTTTATTGTTATGTTATATATGCAATATAAATAAATTAATTAATAAATAAGTAATTTAAAATTAAATAAATAAATAAATTAATTAAATAAATACATTAAAAAAAATAAATAAAAAATAAATAAATAAATATAAATATATAATAGTTTGTAGTCTATAAAGAAATTAGGTAAAAACTGGCAGCCTCATGCAAAATAACATGACCCAATGATGACGCTGGTGAACAGAGGTGCCCAGTCCTGCCACATACCCGCTCCACCTAAAACAAACTCGGGGTGAACCCTGTGAGCGCAGACGGTGTGAGGCTGGGGGGATTTGAGTTTGCTAAATGTCTGGAGCAGAATGGCCCTGGCCCTTTGTGCTCTAATGAAGGGGCCATTGGTTTGTGACCTTCGGCTCCTCACACGTGACCTCAGCTTTACAGATACAGACTCACACAGGATACAGCTGCTCCAGCCGCTTTAACCTGGACCTGAGCAACACCAGGAAACACCCTCTCTAAGAAAAACCCACATTTACACTCAGAACCTGCAGAGAAATTAGACTAGCAATTAAAGAGGGACTATGGGATATCAAGTGTAACACATCATCACAAACTGAGATCTCCACGTTCCTTTTGTTTTGAAAATCCTATATTCACCAAAAAAACCCCAAACATATTTACGTGTTTTATAAGCTTTTTGATTTTTGAGCTCCTCCTCCCTTTGCTCCCCGCGCTAACTCGCTTCACCTTCAGAGCGTCATCAGAACACAATCAGAATTCCTCCCACTAATGAAACTCCTGCACATCACCTCAGGTTTGTGAAGCTGTAGTGTGTTTTGTATCATGTTTTTTTTTTATATTTATGGAGAACTGAGAACAAAATACTGAAATATTGATATATCGTATTGTGATGATTCAGTATCGATATCGTGGGCTGCTGTATCGATATATCGCCAAGAGAATATTTTGGTTTATTTTACTAAATTATTTTGTTACAGTTACAGTTTTGTTGTTTGTTTAGACGAAAGAAACTCATTTGACATTTTCACTGTTTTGAGGATTAAAATATTTGTGTTTCAGATGAACTTTGCACAAGAAGCGGTTTAAGAAACTATTTTTGTATCACGATTTGCCACGATTTAGCCTTTATTTTTTATTGAACCGTATCGAATCCATTTGAAATATATCGTATCGAACCGAACGCGCACTGTATCGAGGTGCGTATCGTATCGGCAACTTCTCACTGATACCAGCCCGACCGAGCACAGGACAGAATCTTACAGTTAACAATAAAGAGGGTTTGAATAGGGCCCAGGAGAGATCACTAGATTACTCAAACCTCCTCGGACGTGTTTTTGATGAGGGAATAACACTGCAACACGGTAGAAAAATGTGGATTTTTGCTTAGTACCCTCTCTTTAAATGTCTCTGATTAAAAGAATTATGTTGATGTAACTTTTCTGGAGTCCGTCAAACGCTTTTTCTCTGTGTTTGGAGATGTTATTGCTTTGTCTGGAATGTTCCACAGTATGGCATTAAACCTTTCTAGCTCCATGGAGACCAAACCAGACCAAGTTACAGGTCAGGAATGTCAGTTTTTCGAAGTATTTTTGAGCTATAAATCCACCTTTAGCTGAATAAATGTAAAGTAGAGATGTATAATGTCACACTGCAGAACATTCCAGGCAAAGCAATAACGTATCCATAGAAACGAGCAGGTGACGGACCCTCAAGGTGCGTGTGAGCGAGCGTGCGTGCTGTTACCTTTGCCGATGACCAGGCCGCACTTGTCTGCTGGGATGGTGTAGGTCACTTCCTGAAGGGGCCCGGGGGAACCGATGGGCCAGTCCCCACGACTCCGAACCCGTCCCCTGAGAGACGAGCTGAAGCCGTCACGCTCCTGCAGACGAGGACGACAGGTCAGACACGACGAGGAGGAAGAGGAAGAGGAGGAGGAGGTAAAGGTGTGAGAGGAGCAGGTGCCATGAGGCTCTTGAGAGAAAGTCTGTTGTGGATGATCTCGTAGCAGCTGGTCTTACGCTGTATTTAAAGCGACTGGTTCTATTTGGAGAAGATCGGCCTCTTTAAGGAAACTGAATCAGACCCTGAGGAGCCTGAGTCCAACCTTCCAAAGCATCAGACCAAGATCAATACAGATGAACATGAAAGAATTATTTCTCACCAAACACCGACCTGATCTTTTGATAAACCACTGGCTTTCGAGTAACGGCAGCTTATATATTGTGCCGACAAAGCTAATATTCCAAACTTTTAACGACTAAAAATAATGTTGTGAATGTTGTGAGTTGAGCCTTGGGTTTAAAAGTACGCAGATACACTTTTGATTTTCTTAATAAATATTGTGGCCATACAATCTTATCAAAGCCTGATCTCGTCAGATCTCAGAAGCTCAGCTAAGCCGGGCCTGGTCAGGACTTGGGTGGGAGACACTGGGAACAGCAGGAGCCACAGGGGGGCGCCAGGCGTTGTGTCCTTAGGCAAGACACTTCACCCACACTGCATAAGTGTCAATAGATAGTGAAGGTTTCTTATACCTGCGCATCTGGATGAGCTTGTTTGTTATATATACTGTGGGTGTGTTTGTTTTGTTCACCTGTGCAGTCTGGATAAGCTTGTTTGTTATATATACTGTGGGTGTGTTTGTTTTGTTCACCCATGCAGTCTGGATGAGCTGTTGGTGTGTTTGTTTTGTTCACCTGTGCAGTCTGGATGAGCTTGTTTGTTATATATACTGTGGGTGAGTTTGTTTCGTTCACCTGGGCAGTCTGGATAAGCTTGTTTGTTATATATACTGTGGGTGAGTTTGTTTCGTTCACCTGGGCAGTCTGGATAAGCTTGTTTGTTATATATACTGTGGGTGTGTTTGTTTTGTTCACCTGGGCAGTCTGGATAAGCTTGTTTGTTATATATACTGTGGGTGTGTTTGTTTTGTTCACCTGTGCAGTCTGGATAAGCTTGTTTGTTATATATACTGTGGGTGTGTTTGTTTTGTTCACCCATGCAGTCTGGATGAGCTGTTGGTGTGTTTGTTTTGTTCACCTGCGCAGTCTAGACGAGCTGTGGGTGTGTTTGTTTTGTTCACCTGTGCATCTGGATGAGTTTGTTGGTTTTATATACTGTGGGTGTGTTTGTTTGGTTCACCTGCGCGGTCTGGATGAGCTCGTTGATCATGTGGATGGCGTGCTGACAGCGGTCCATCTGCCCCATGACCATCGCCACACGCTCAGGACTGATGCCATCGTCTGGAAACAAAAGCTCTCGTTAAACTCTGGACTCGGGTGAGAAGGAGACGCACAGGCCTCGTCCTCGTCCCCTGTCCCTCCGGGCTCGGTCCAGTACCTGCTTTGAACTGGATTCTGACCCCGGCGTCGTTCTGGATTTTCTTGATCATCTCTCCGTTTCGTCCGATCACGATCCCCACAGCGAAGCGCGGCACAGGCACCTGCACAGACACCGAGGGGGATTTTGACCTCGAGCTGCTTATACAACAAATCTGGACTGGGCAAGAGAATTTTGCTAAAACACATGTTAAGAACTCGGGTCCAGGCCCTTTAGATGATTTGTCCAGTTGAACTAAATAAAGTAAAAGAGACCTAAATGTTTTTGGACCGTTATCAGTGCGGGATCTGAGCCTTACGTCCACAGAGGTTCCTCCGAGTCGAGCGCCAAAGTCGTTTCTTCTGAAGTCTCCGTCCTTCTCCCGGATCACCTCCAGGACCAGCTCCCGGGCCGCCTGCAAAAAACACAAACGCACACATTAAACAGAGAAATCAACCAGGGCATACAGGGACCACAGAAAACACGACTAAAACCATCTCCCCACTCAGAGAACATTTCACTTTATATTTAAATCTTGGTCTATAATCGAGTTTGTGAACCTGCAGCTGTAAATCGTAGCTCTTGTTCTCACCTGCACTTTGTACGGGTCCCCTGAGATCCTGAGGGGTTTGTCTGCTCCTGTTGGCATAGGTCCATCCTGGATCATCATCATCTTCACTCCGGCTCTCTCCTGAAGCACAAGAACATCTGCCTCATTTACACTGATCACTCTGGAGCAGGTGAGAGCGGCCCGAGTCTGTCTCCACTGTCCACAGGGAACTGTAAAGATCTGTTTGAGGGTCTGAAGGGGAACCTGAAGGGTCTAAGGGGAACCCGAGGCGTCTAAGGGGAACCCAAGGGTCTGGGGTGGAACCTGAAGAGTCTGAGGGGGAACCCAAGACGTCTAAGGAGAACCTGAGAGTCTGGAGGGAACCTGAAGAGTCTGAAGGGGAACTTGCAGGGTCTGAGGGGAAAACAAGGGTCTGAGAGGGAACCTGAAGGGTCTGGAGGGGAACACAGGCGTCTAAGGGGAACCCGAGGGTTTGAAGGGGAACCTGAAGGGTCTGAGGGGGAACCCAAGGCATCTAAGGGGAACCCAAAGAGTCTGAGGGAACCTGAAGGGTCTGGGGTGGAACCTAAAGGGTCTGAGGGAGAACCAAAGGCGTCTGAGCGGCTTCTGGATTGGTTTAGCTGACATGAGGTTAAAACACCCAGACGAGGTGATTGGACAAAATAACCATGGCCGTGGAAAAGAGACGTTTCAGTGCACTTTGCCTCCAATATAATAATTTATAACACTGATAATGTATTCAACAGTCTACTCTCACAATTCTACATTTTACAGGCCGACTATCGTTACTATAATCACCATCTTCAATATGGATGTTATTTGTGTGTCCCTTAAAGGAACTTACAAATCAACAACTGAAATATTATCGTTTTTTCAAACGGAATCTCTCACGTCTCTGTATCTTAATGTCCCCGTGTCACCTGTAGATGTTTGATGGTGTCTCCTCCTCGTCCGATCACCAGTCCCACTTTACTGGCCGGGATGAGCATCTCCTGCACTGATGCGGCTCCGTCGGCATCTGAGTGGAACCCAGGGCCGTTTCTGCAGCGATCCACGATCTGAACCAGCAAACGCTTCGCCTGTCTGAGGAACACACACACAAGCAGTGACCTGTTGTATTTCCAACCAACTCTGGCTCTTTGTGTTAAAACAAAGCTCAGATTGTAGTCTAATTTGAGCAATTTCTAAGCTTCCAACATAGAGTGACCAGATTTTCAAAATTCAAAACTGGGTCACACCCAGGTTGGGATGGTTGGTTTAAATAAAACTGTGAAAAGAGCATGTAACATTGTGGATTCTCGCGTCAGTCATGCTCTGAGGTAAACTGATTCATCAGCCGGTTTCACTTCATGGAAACCGTCTGACCTTGCAGCATTAGAATTTGTTTGCTTGACGGTAGGCAGATACTTTTTTATTTAACCAATCGCGGCTATTTGGTCGTGACGTATTTAATGCGCTGCTAACGGGGCTAACTGGTATATTAAGCTTTTCTCAAATCCCATAGGAAGAAGGGCAAATTTCCCCTTGATAATATTCACCAAACATTCTCTTTGTTCCGGCTTAAAATCCTCAATCTTGGTAATTGTTGCCAAAACAGAATGTATGGCTCTTCACTGATTGGCTGGTGGCCGGACTCGCACTTACGGGGGTTCTTGCAAACCGTCTAGTGTATTCTGATTCCTGACCTAATCGTTGGAGAGAGAAACGAAATTGAGTGGAAGCACTAGGTGGCACCAGCCTGGAGATCTGAGGGACTTCTGACACTGAATTTTTTGCTTTATCATCATTTGCAAACATGGTTTTCTGTATTTTGGCCAAACAAATGATAATTTATGCTCCTCTTTATTGTTGGCGAGCATCTGATTAGTCACAAATTGTGATAGTCCTGGTTTAGAACAAATTGGTGAAAAATAGGGACACATGGGACATTTCTTGTATAAAAAAACAGGACAAATCAATGGTTTTGTATAAATCTGCTGGGATAGGGGACACAGGGCTCAAAACTGGGACTGTCCCGGGTAAATAGGGACATCTGGTCACTCTGTTCTAACAGAGCAGTGCTTTCAGCTAGCTTCACATCCCCAGAAATGTTATCAGCTGTCATTATCAGTAGGCCTCTGATACTCTGAAAATAAAGTGTTTTGGGATCACTAAATGAGCTTAGTTGGTTGGTTCCTCTTGTCTGATTGGTTGTATCCTTCTAAATCTCCATCAATCCAGCTGAGTGCATTTTGAGCGTGCATAGCTGCTCTGAGAAATGCATTTATTATTTTTTTTAAAGGAAACATCTCTTTAGACTTTCATAAACCTTTGCACGTTTCTCCATTTCTCATGTTCTTTGATAGCAGGAGGCAGCCACAGAGCACCACGTGATTTAAACATCTCCAGTTAAAGAACTCACAGTAAACAGTTCCCATGTTGATTTTGACCAAGGTTTTTGAACTCAATGCTGGTTCTTATGTTTATATGTGTGCCCGTAGTTTTGATCTAGGGGCGTGTCCCGGTCCATTACCCTGAATACGAGTGTGTTCTGGTGGGGGAGCAGTGTTTACATCCAGCCTCTATTTGAAAGAAACACCTCTGATAGATGCTCCTCTGCCCAGTACAGGTCACCAATTTATCCTCAGCTACCACCATCCAAGCTAGTGCACCTTTCGTTTTGATAGAACTCTCTGCAACTTTTTGGTTGGAGGTTCGTCACCTGCTTGTTTCTATGGATATTTCATTATTCTGCCTGGAATATTCCACAGTATGACATTAAACAGCTCTACCTTACATTTATTCAATTATAGGTCATTTTATAGCTCAAAAATACCTAGAAAAACAGGTATTTTGACTGTGAGCTGGGTCGCCGCTCCACAGACCTGACCTGTAACTTGGTCTGGTTTGGTCTCCATGAAGATAAAAATTTTTAAAGCCCTACTGTGAAACATTCCAGACAAAGCAATAACATCTCTACGGAGAAAACCATTTGACTCGCCCTGCACCAGAAATGTCACACATTGCACCCTTAAAGGAGCTTAAAGTATACAATTTTAATTAAAAGTTCATGAGCATATTTCACAACTTTTAGAAGGGTGTTTCCTGGTTCGCAGAGGATAGCAAACGCATTGTGATTAGATGTACACAATACATAGGTATCATGGAATTTGAAAATGTCATTTTACAGGCTTGAAAAAGTCATAAAATTTTGTAAATTCTATGAAAGTTTTAGAAAAGCCATGGAATTTTAGTATCTCTTTCATGCAAGTACAGCGTTTTGTTAAGTTATCATTAGGCTGTTATGATCATTTCCGAACATCTGTGCCTTTTGTTTAAAATAGACGACAATAAATACATTGACAATATTTAAATGTTAAAAAACTATAATCCCAAACCATAAGGTGAGTGGGAAGGGTTAACATTTCATATTTAGCCCTAAAAGTCTGATCAATTTTACACATGTAGGTGCTGTAAAGTCATGGAAAATTCACTTTAGGTCATGAAAAAGTCTTGGAAAAGTTTTGAAATTTTGTTGAAAAAGAGTGGGAAACCTGATCCAAGCTAATACAATATTTTAACTCTAAAGGAGCTGTATACAATGTTTTGATGTAATAAAAGTACAATTTGGCAAAAAAGCCAAAATGAGACTGCTGCGTTTTGTATGCATTTAATTATAAAGCATTTTATAGTTGGAGAATCAGGAAGTGAGCTGTTAACATGATAGTTATTCATGGCGTTACTCCACTCTGGCCTTTGAGTATGAAAAGCATTTATAAACTCGTCATGGTGAATAATTAGGACGCTCCGAATGCATAAGTTAAGCGAGGAATAACTTTGGACTACTGCGAACTGTTTCAAATTAACTATTTCTGTTTTTAAAAATCTGATATTTCTTTTCCTAGACTATTCCCCAGTAGGGCTTGAAATGTATTTTTCTCCATGCAGACAAGCAGTTGACTCCAACAGGTCAGTTACAGGTCAGATCTGCGAACAGGTGATCCCACTCACAGCAAGAATTCATGTTATTCAAGGTTATTTATTGACTAAATGCAATATAACTGAACGCTTTTAATGCCATACTGAGGAGCATTTTAGGACGCAATTACATCTCCATGGACACAAGCAGGTAAAATTACATAGTGCACTTAAATAATAATAATAAAGTATAGTAAGTACATGGTAAAGCAATACACAATACATACAATACAATACAATACAATACAATACAATATACTAACAGACATGCTTGCTTGTTTTGCCTGCAGAGTTAATCAGGGCTTAACCAAGACTAAGCCAGTTGTATAAATTTTGATGAAGACTACACTAGATGTGAACCCGGGTTAAAGGAGCCCCCACACACATGTCTCCGAGTGGACCTCTGCCTGTCTTGTTTACGTTGGTCCCATTAACGCTCAGAGGACGCAGCTTTTCACTCTAAACATTCAAGATTAATGAAGATCGTGGCACTAAAAACCTCCTCTCTCCATCAGTCACTGCGCACGCACACACACATACACACACACAAATACACAGAGAACACACACATACACACATACATTTAGAGTACAGCGCTCGCCCACCAACACAAAGGTTTCCAGTTCAGTCCCAGCTCTGACCATTGCATACTATTGTTATAAAAGCACCATTATATTACATTTTATTACTTTACTTTTATTACTTTTTAACTTTATCGGAAAATTTAAGAACTGTACCTTATTTTTACAGTCTTAAACATTAAAAAAACAGAATTATTTCATGTCAAAAGTTCTATAATACACAAACTTGACTCTTGACTAATGCTGTTACCTCCTTAAAAATGGACCTGGAGTTGTGTTTTGTTTCTTTCACACATGTTTGAATAACCCTTTTTGTATTAGTCGGTCTACATCTCCAAAGCTCAACATGCTCTGTT